AAAATGTGCCGCACCGTAAGAATTATCCTGTGCGCCGTGTGGGTTTGAACGCTCCTTATGTTAGTGCTGCATGGAGTGAGTGATTTTAATTCAAACAGGGAAGTTCTTCATGTAATTAACCTTGAAGCCTGCCCCCACCCCTCTTTTAATTTAAGTCGTGTGCTTCACTGCAGGGTGTTTTTTTTTTTTCCTTTTTCTCCCTCACTCGCTCTCATGCTCTCAATCTATCGCTTACTTGGTAATTTTTTTTAGGTTAACATAGATCATGGTGTTTTAGACCTCTGCTGGCACCTCAGGGTATGAGTCTAAGAGATCAGAGTGTATCTGTGCAGACCTCATTCTAATACAGTTGGATAACCTGGAGGATAATCGCTGAGATGTGGACGCTGTCAAAGATCTTGCATACGTGTATTGTTTAGAATATACCATAATATAAGACCCCCCCCCCCCCCCCACCCTCACCCCACCAAAAATTAATCATCCAACTTTACCTCATTGAAAATATGTGTCTTAGCCTCCATTTTTTTTTTTTTTTTTTAGCAAAAACGATTCATAAGTTGTTCCATGTTTCATTTCAGATGACACATCCACTAGTGGGTGCTGTCTACATTTTTATAAATCTGTAATATGTTACTTAGGATATGTTTTGTTTTACATTTCAGACACGCATCCATATTTTAAATGTCCACAAGAAGGATTTCACCTAGTAAGCCACTAACTGAAACCCTTCCCCAAACCCAACCTATAGTGTCTTCTAAGAAAAAAAGAATTTTGTGGAGCAGTGCTTCACCAGACTCAACCTAAAGTGCTCTGGAGATGACACCCTACAACATGAGCTACAGAGCAAACTGACCATATTAGAAAAAAGTTATCCATATGGAAATAGAAATGTAAGAAAAAAAAAAAAGAAAAAAAAACACATTTGTTACAAATCATAGACACTATTAAAGGCTGGTTTATACCTCTGCGTTGACTGTTCGCCGGGACCCACAGTGCCTGCCTTGCGCATAGCTGTACATTTATACTTCTGCATGCTGTTTGTGTTGCTTTGAAATAACTTTTACAAAATGCTAGCTGGCAGTGGGTTTCTCTGTGTCAAGTTTCGTCGTTAGTGTTTTGTGTTTACTGAATTCTACCTTAATGTACTAGTAGCTAAAATTCAGTCATTTAGGGGCGGGAGCCAGCAGACATGCAACAACTTTAATCATATGGCGAAGTACAAAACAACAGTTTCCATCTGGAGCTCCTTATGGGACTCGACACTTGTAAACACTTACTTCATCAGGCTCGCGACTCTCAGAACCGGCCACACTCGTCACAGCTACCAAGCTGTCAATTCACAGAGCTTGCGCTACACTTCATTGTGATGTGTAGTTGTAGTTGCGATGTAGCATTTTTCAAGTGGTGTGCGTCACTGTCGACGAGGGCTATGGGACAACGCAAAAACTGCGCCAGAGCATACATGTGCGCTTCACACAGAAGCACAAATCAGCCTTAAGGTGTTTTGTGGTATTTATTTGGTCTAGTACAAAGGCAAGCAGAAAAAAAAAATCCTGAATAAATATTTGTCAATAAAATATCACTGTAACTTCCATTAGTGTCGAAAGACTACAAGTTAGCATCATACTGCCCAATGGCTCTCATTTTACCTAGAAAGCTAGCAGCTTTTTTTTTACAGTTTCACACACACACACACAAAAAAAAAAAATAAAATAAAATAAATAAATAAAATAAATAAATAAATAAATAAATAAATAAATAAATAAATAAATAAATAAATAAATAAATAAATAAATAAGAAGCATTTTAGAAGCATTAGTCTGGTTAACACAATCCCTTACATATTGTCTTATAATCTAGTTATATGCATTTAAGATACAACTACGCTAATTCCTGTTTTTTTTATTTTTTATATATATATATATTATTGTATCAAAATGGTTCAAATCAAAGCCAGAGCAAAACATTTGTATCAACACTTTTTTTCATGAATGAATCTGCTCTCTAAACAAATTATTTCAGTCAGTGATTTAGGGATTAGTTATTCAAAGCAATCCCTTTGATTTGTTTCTAAATGAATATGCAATTTTTTTTAAATAATCAGTTGAATGAATAATTTAACAAGATACTAATAATGATTTGTGTTATCTACTGGTGAATTGCGATTTAGTAATTTGTAACTTCCACATTCACACAGTGGGTATTACTGTCATATCACAGCAAGACGGTTGCTAGTTCGAGCCTCGGCTGAGTCAGGTGGCATTTCTGTGAGGAGTTTGCATGTTCTTCACGCTTTCGCGTAGGTTTCCTCCAGGTGCTCCTGTTTCCACCACAGTCCAAAGACATGCGGTGCAGGTGAATTGGGTAGACTAAATTATCCTCTGTCTATGTGTGTGAATGAGTGTGTTTGGATGTTTCCCAGAGATGGGCTGCAGCTAGAAGGACATCCAGTGCGTAAAATATTTGCTGGATAAAGTGATTCATTCCGCTGTGGCGACCTCGGATTAATAAAGGACTAAGCTGAAAATAAAATGAATGAATGAACATTCACACTTCGTGCAACATGCGGCGACAAAGCAACAAGCAACTATATATTTTAATGGAGTGCAAGCGGCTTTTGGCAACCTTTAACTATGTAAGCAACAGTGACCATTGTTGACCAGATGTGGTCAAGTTGAGCTAGGTGACAAAGTTGAGAATTTTTTGCATTCGTTCACACAGAATGCATTTTTCATCTCCAGCTACCTAGTTTAAATTGTTTTCTACTGTTTTCTGCTGGACAGAACAATGCAATCTCAAGGCAATTGGTAACTTTTTGATTTAGTGACTAATTCATATGAATTTAAACAGTCTAATTTGAACAATTTAGTATAATTTGCTCATCACCCAATGACGGTTGGGGTTAGGGGTGGGGTTGGGTTGGGTGCCACATCTCCTTTTTAAAATCATACATTTTCGTACGACTGAACTCGTACAAATTCGTACGAATTAGCCACTAAACTGACAAAATGTAAAATACTTACGTTTTTTCTTGAGATCAGGCTGGAAAAATAGTTTGACCATTATGCTCGCGGCTTGCATCTTTTGAAGCACCACGCATGTAAACTTCATGTTTTCTACATGATTTTTCAACAATCTTTGAACAATCTTTCAGTGGACCAATCAGAAGAGCTCAGAGGCAACTATTGTGAGCTTCTGTTTGTAGTGTAAAGTTGGCATGACAACATGTTTTATTATCCGTTATATCATGGTGGAGGAGGCGCTCATTGTGGCTTTGTCCAGATATCCTGAGTTATGTGATGTATCTTCAAGTGCTTATCAAAAGATAAGCCTATAAGATTCCTATTTCTAACGGGTTCATTGTAGTCATTATTACATCATATTCATAATATTGTGTCACCATTAGACATATTAAATAAGTTGCCACATTGACAGAGAACATACGTGTCATGTTCACCTTTGTAATTAAGCATTTTATGCACTGATTCCATTTTTATTTAGTGTTTTACCTGAACAATGTTTATTTTCAGTGAGGCACAAACTCATTTTCTCTCAGTAAATATATATATCATAAACGTTACTTAAAAAACCTCAAGGCATGAATGCCCACTATCGAGTTCAATCGCTACCTAGCGTGTCAGACACCTACAAAGGCACAATATACAGTCAGCAAAATATAGTTTAATTTGCATTATTATTATTATTATTATTATTATTGGTCAGTATTGCACACCCTGAACTAGGTTTTACCTCTTTGTCAGTAGTAAGTTTTTAATTTTATAAAATGTAATAAAATTACCACTTACTCATTTACAAATTCTAAAAAGTACAGGCCAGGATAAGAACATTATTTAACCCATTGACGTTTTATTTTCACAAAAGTGATGTCAAACAAATTGACATTTACTATTGCTCATTTGACTATTGCATTTAGTAGGCTTCTTATGTATATGACATTACTCTTGGAAATGCAATTTATAGACAAACTGAATAAAAGGTATTCTTTATAAAAATTAATATTATGTGTATTTGACTTTTTTGTGTGTGTGTATGAGATCTGTATTACTATATATTATTTTTATTATTATTTATTTATTTTTTTACCCATGTTTTGCCCCGCTTTTATTTAAATGTGAAGTAATACGATATTCGCAATTTATACTCTTCATTTTCCTCTCAGTGGAGATATTAATCTCTGTCCAGCAGAGGGAGTGTGTAATTTACAGAACATCTATTGTCCTCCTCAAATGCAAATGCTCCCTTTCCCCATGTTTTACAGCAGGAAACAAGTGCAAAATCACCTCATTACCAGACATAAAACTATAAATCATGACAAATTGAATCCTTCTTAAATCTAGAGTGTGTAATTGGACATTTTACACCAAGCACAATGCATTGTGCGAGTTCTATTGACTTGGAATGAATTACTGATGTTTATTTGCGCTGATAGAGTTATGCAGATTTTCAGCCATTACTATTCCCTGTGCTTTTCAAAAATGACTTCAATAAAAGAACAAATAAATGCTTTTCCCTTCGCTGTGCCAGGAGCACGGGCATAACTCAGACACGGACTAACTGTGGAGGTGATAATTCTGCTTAGATGAGATGTAGCGGTGTAGTGTTAATCACGATGAACAAGCACAGGCTTGTTCTCAATAACAGAGAACCTTTCTCATTTCAAGTTCACACACACATACGTACACACACAGACCAAAGTGTGAAATGAATTGTTCGTTGCATATGGAAAGCTTCATTCACTTAACAGCCGCTCCATTTTCAGCTCTGAACCTGCATTTTATCCACCGCAAACCAGATGCTAAATATACTAAAATAGCACTGCGCTATGAGTATTTACAGTAAATTAAGTCAATGCTATTCTTTTACTGAAAATACACCCCCTTTCTATGTAAATTAGGCTCTGTTTGTGCTATTAGCTTGACACAATTAATGTTTTGCAGAAGCTAATGTTGTGTAAGTGTAATTTATTCTTGCTGAAATCTCTGCATAGCAATCCATTTATGTGATATACTCTATAGCAATCTGTGCTAGTGGCTTTCAGCCTTAC